GTGTTCACCTGGCATAATCTTTGACCCAAACTGGCATATTCACCCTTCAACCTCATAATGAATATGCATATTTCAATTTAATCAACTAATCTTAAAACATGCTATGATTATTTTACATTAAAGTTCTGCAGAGATAATGTGGCTTGATAATTAGTAAGCTGAATTTATAACCACAGTGGTTGTTCTGATGTCTGAAGTAATCTTTGAGCAAGAAATATTCTGGGCCAATGTTAAAGTAGAGGCGGTAATATCATCTTAGTGATAAGATTGCATTGTGGAAAGGGGTCTTGATGTTAAGATGCTAGACTTGAGCAGTGTCAATTATCTTTAATTTGTTGTTTAACCTGAATTTTGTTTTACAGTTTCTTAAAACAATTTTTGACTGACATAAAGTTCATACAAAAAATATTAAGGTTATAAAATTACCTTGATATTGACAAACAAAATTGAACTTTCTTATCTGTGTTTTCTTATTATGGGTTCACACAAAGAACTGCTCTCCTAAAAACTGTTTATTGTTTTTAAGATTTCTTTTCACCCACACAACCTATTAGATGTAACTGCGTCACTGATTACACAAGATCACAACATCACCTGAGACATACAGTTAAAGTGGCTATTTTCAACCAATCAATACCAAACCATCATGTGTCAGATTTAGATAAGCTTTAAAAATCTTTAGCTTCCAGCTGACATTTCTTCCAGGCCAAGTTGTTAGGTTTTCTTACGCAATGTAAATCCTGTATGCATTGTTTGATTTATTTCATAACTAATCTAAAATATTTCAGCCTACACATAATTTGAACAAGAAAAAATTGTGTCCTGGGACACGGATGCCCCCGCTGACATTCATAAGACATATAAAGATCAATAATTGAACAAAATTCACGAACAAGTTCAATAAACATCTATGCAACTATGAGGATGCACACCTTTCGAGTCCCATTGAAACACATGTATAAGCTTAATCAATTCTGTTGAGCAGCTTTTGTGGAGACGTGGACAGACTTAATCCATTATTTCACTATCATCAGAGAGAAATTCAACAAAATGTATCTAAGTTCAAATGACTCTAAACGTACAAAAAACTATAAAATACAAAAACAAAATATGAAATGCACACCTTCAGAGTCTCTATAACAGACATATGTAAGCTAAATGAGTTTTGTGCAGTGGTCTTTGAGGAGAAGTGGATAAAGTACACCCCCTGTTGTATGGGACGAACAGGATGAATAGAACCAATTTCAACTAAGTTCAAACATCTGTAGAAGTGATAAAAATAACATCTGTAAGCGAGATTTTGATCTCAAAGTGATGCTAACTGTGTGATGTACATAGGGCACAGTTGACAGAGGTTGCATGTAAGAAAACAGCTTGATAACCAACGTCTTTCATCAAAATGTTTCAAAATGCAATAAACCAAACATTGTCATATATAACATTAAAAAAAAGTAGGGGATATTCCATTTTGCGAGAAAAGTAATATATATCCATACAGATGAAACATTTCCAAAGGAATAGAATAAATTGACACATTTTCCCTTAATTTCTCTTCATCATCTGTTTCCTCCTTGGCTTCATCATTTGCATTTTATCAATCTTGTAAATCCAATATCCCCAACTTTTTTGGGATGGTATATGTAACACTGAATGTCAACAGAGGTATGACATAGAATGAGTCATCAGACATAAAGCATCTGTGTGATAGAATAAGTCATCAGAGCTGTAGTATATTTGTAGCATGGAATACGTCATCAGAAGTAGAACATCTGTTTCATACTGAATGTCATCAGAGGTATGACATATGTGTCCATACTGAATGTCATCAGAGGTACAGCAACTGTATGACATAGAAAGTCACTGTGAGGTGAGCTGAAACGGGGTTTAACGTCGTACTTAAGAATTTTTCACTCATATGACGATGTGAATGCATGTGTATGTGTGGCTGCTTGTACTAGCCCAGACTTAAACTGTATTTATAGTGCTAGCCCACTGAGATACCATGCCACAGTGATGCCTGAATACCCCACTCAGACACATTATACTGACTCAGAGCCGACCAGTCTTTGTTGTACCCATTAATACTGAGCACCAGGCAGGGACTAGCAAGTACCATATCAGGGGTGGAAATAACTTTAAAATTGCTAGTGTACTCCGGTACAGTGGCACAAGTAAAATCACTTGCCTTGATAATTTTTCCACTATACTGGCCGATTTTTTTTGTTGATTTTTAAAATAAACAACATAATTAACATTGAAAAGTCAACTGGACACCGGTACAGTGTAATATACAAATTTGCTTGCCCGACAGAAAAAAACACTGGACTCGGGCGTCGGGCAATGGGTTATTTCCACCCCTGCATATTTTTAACATGTTTTGGTATGAACCTGCAACCTTCCACTCTCTCGGCGGACGCTATAACCACAACACAATGGAGGCAATCAGTAACTGTGACATGGGTTCCATTGTAGGCTTCAAACTATATCCAACACAATTTCAAAATATGATATGAACATAATACACGGATCTTCATTTCAACCAGCTCTTGTATCTATCCTTGCTCAAGATGAAAAGTTATTTTGAACATGACAGTGAAAGCAAATACTATACAAAGCTTTATAATTCTTTCATCAATGATGTTAAAAATAGAGTGAGACCTTGTCACGGGAAATAAAATAGACGTCTAATCCCATGTTTCAAAAACATTCAATATTCTAATTAGTTGTGTGTCATGCAGATTGGCCATTGATCAAACCCAAATTTGTTAACAGGATTGGATAACAGCATCTTTCATGTCCACTCCATGACAACGATGGTGATGAGAACAAGGACGTATTGGGCAGCCTCCTTCCAGTAAAGGGGAAGTATTGACAGATGTGGTAATTGTGGGTAAAGGTCTCATCTGCAATACAGGCCTGTAGAGACTGGTTGTCAGGTTCACAACTGAAGACTGAAAGTTAGAATGGGGGAATATTCAGGGGATTCCCATGGAAGTGGAAGAGTTTGATTTCAGCATTATTCCAGCAAGATCATGGTGGTTGGCAATACAATGGGCCTCATAGATGTCGGACATTAAACTGATTTTTTGGTATGGCAGGCAGGTAATTTAATGTCTAATTGCCTGACTCAGACTGAAATGTAGTTTTTACAGTTTTGTCAATAAGCCTGCTGGGAATTTTGTGCTCAGCCTTTGAGATAGCTTGTGTCATGATGTGTCCAAATGATGGACATAAATCATGCTATCAGCATTCATTTGCAAAGCCCCAACTGGATTATCCACAGTCAGGTATTATATTGCTGGAAAATGATCTGCGAAAGGAAATTTACCGCAGACCTGCACAAGCCATCTGTTGTGGTAATGCAGTCCGTTAAAACCCCCAAAATCATTAGCAGTGGTGGCTCAGGGTAGAAACAACCACAAGAAGAAGCAGCCACAACCTGCCCCAGACAATCTAAAGAACCATCTGATGTGATTGCCTATCTGATCCAAAAGACCATCTCACATGGTGGTCCAGGTGATCTAAAGAACCATATGATATGATGTCCCAAGTGATCTAATAAAACATCTGACATGGTGGCCCAGACAATCTAAAGAACCATCTAATGTGGTGGTCCAGGTGATTTAAAGAACCATCCGATGTGGTGGTCCAGATGATTTAAAGAACCATCCGATGTGGTGACCCAGGTGATTTAAAGAACCATCCGATGTGGTGGTCCAGGTGATTTAAAGAACCATCTGATGTGGTGACCCAGGTGATCTAAAGAACCATCTGACATACTCATCTAGACAAACTAAAGAACTATCTGACTTGGTGGTCCAGATAACTTAAAGAACCATCTGACATGATGGTCCAGGTGATCTAAAGAACCATCTGACATGGTCCAAACAATCTAAAGAACCATCTGACATGATGGTCCAAACAATCTAAAGAACCATCTGACATGATGGTCCAGGTGATCTAAAGAACCATCTGACATGATGGTCCAGATGATCTAAAGAACCATCTGACATGATGGTCCAAACAATCTAAAGAACCATCTGACACAGTGGTCCAGAAGAACCATCTGACATGATGGTCCAAACAATCTAAAGAACCATCTGACATGATGGTCCAAACAATCTAAAGAACCATTTGACATGATGGTCCAGATAATTTAAAGAACCATCTGACATGATGGTCCAAACAATCTAAACAACCATCTGACATGATTGTCAAGGTGATCTAAAGAACCATCTGACATGATGGTCCAGGTGATCTAAACCACCATCTGACATGATGGTCCAAACAATCTAAAGAACCATCTGACATGGTGGTCAAAACAATCTAAAGAACCATCTGACATGATGGTCCAGGTGATCTAAAGAACCATCTGACATGATGGTCCAGGTGATCTAAACCACCATCTGACATGATGGTCCAAACAATCTAAAGAACCATCTGACATGGTGGTCCAGGTGATCTAAAGAACCATCTGACATGATGGTCCAAACAATCTAAAGAACCATCTGACATGGTGGTCCAGGTGATCTAAAGAACCATCTGACATGATGGTCCAGGTGATCTAAAGAACCATCTGACATGGTGGTCCAGGTGATCTAAAGAACCATCTGACATGATGTGCCAGACAATCTAAAGAACCATCTGACATGGTGGTCCAGGTGATATAAAGAACCATCTGACATTGTAGTAACAAGTCTCCTACACATTTAAAGGCACATATTTTGTGATGGTACACATTCAGAAATACTAGTCTCATATCTGCTTACAAATTAGTTCAAAAGCTTGGCTAGCTAGTAGTTTTTCAAGTCTGTCTTAAATATGTATGAATTTTTTAAATTCACAGTCATTTTGTTTGTTTTTATCAAAAGGGCTCACAAAATCTGAAAGCACCAGTCATCCATTGCTTCTGAAATGTGTTCTACATAAATGCAAGAACAAAACTTAACTAACACTGATAGCATGGCAACACAGCTTGTCTTTTGGCCTAAAGTACCTACCTTGAGCTACAGGCATAATCCGACAGGTAGAGATGGGGCCTCGTCGAGCAAACTGTCCCAGGCTCATCTCCATGTACAGTAAAGGCACTCCCAGGAAGCATGTTACAATTATATACACAAAGTAGAACGCCCCTGGAAAACAAAAAGAAAAGATTAAGTCAGATTGATTGAAGAATTACAATATGGTTTATACACTAGCCTAATCGGCAGAACCTTTATGGACTGACATTCTGACCGCCTCCGTGATGTAGTGGTTAGAGCGTCCGCCCGGAGAGTGGAAGGTCGTGGGTTTGATCCCAGGCCGTGTCATACCAAAAGATGTTAAAATGTGGTACTTGTTGGTCCCTGCCTGGCGCTCGGCATTTATGGGTACAACAAGGACTGGTCGGCTTGGAGTCAGTATAATGTGTCTGAGTGGGGTATTCATGATTAACTGCGGCATGGTATCTCAGTGAGCTAGCACTATAAAACCAGCTTAAGTCTGGGCTAGTACAAGCAGCCGCACATACACATACACACGCATGCACGTCGTCGAAATATTCTCAAGTACCACGTTAAACCCCATTTCACCTCACCACTGACATTCTATATTCTTGACATCTGTTGACATTTTCTGTATGACTGAATTACTTGATTCCTAAAACATGGACAGAACCTTGTATATCAGCATGCTCAAACCTGAATCACAGTGCCACCTGGTTGACACAAATTGACAGACCTATCAAGTTTGATTCATGTCATTCAAAATCTGAATACGTAAAAAGAAAGAATACACTTGAAAATTGGAAGTGATTCGAACATTACACTGAAAGCTGGAGGCTCAAAACAACTATGATGCATGGATCAAATGCATCACCACTAAATAACCATTTTATAAAGCTACCATCATACATGGGTGTACAATTTCTTTTCTGAGCTAACAATTACATGGATATTAATCTCATAGTTAATGATTACCACATTTACATACAATGACATAGTTTTATACAGTATGAATTACAGACTACACCCCAAATTATGGAGCATACTGTTCCTAGAATTCCATCTACACATGTTGATGTGAAAACAAAGTTGAAATTGTATTTTGGTGAGAGTCAAAAGCAAATGCATATGGCTGCCATACCAAGTTGAGTTAAGTTGAGCTAGGTTTTATGTCACATCGGCATTATTTCAGCCATACAGGGACGAGACAAAGTAGGTATTCATACACATGTTAAGTACAAAGTTTGAATGAGCTTTTTAAAAATACATATCTATTCATTACATTATTATTTACAAGTTGATCTGCCATAACAAGAACTTGAATTTATTAATTCCCCAGATCTTTTCCTGCCATACCAATATAAGATCTGGGGAATGAATTAATTCAAGCACATGATCAAAAATCTGCACTATTTATCCTACAAAAGGACAAAATTACATTTAATGAATCACAGTTTCATGGCCCCTGGCAAATCTAAATCCATTTAGTCTGACAAGGGAGTGAGGGAGTGACTTGGTTATTCAAAAGCATGTCAGTTTAATGAGAAGGAAAGCCCAAAGTGATGCAGGTCTCAGCTGTTTACTACATTTTAAAAACTCACAAGGACAGGTATGGTAGTTTCTTAGAGTGGCATTTAGAAATTGGGAAGTACAATATAGAACAAACTTTATGGATAACAACTTCTTTTATTCAGGAGTGCGATGTTTCGATACAGATTCTTGTACCGTTGTCATTCCTGCTTGACAAAGATACAAGAATCTGTATCAAAACACCGCACTCACGAATAAAAAAAGTTGTTATCCATACAGTTTGTTCTATATTGGACAGATATGTTGCTAACAAACCTGGAGACGTGATTTGGGTGAACAAGTTGTTGGCTTCAGATGACTGAGCCACTTATGTCCCAACAATGGAAACCCCATTCTCTTCCCACAGAGGTTACTTGTCATATCTTCCTACGAACCTCTGTTCTAATACGGCCATATTTCCCGGTTCTCGTAAAATCCCCTAGCGGCAAAAGATCGCAACACGAATTATCTCCCTTCTTTCTATCCAATCAGAACACGTGTTACATCGACTTAGATTCAACTTGACTAACACAAGCAAATGTGAGGCCACAAATATCCCCCATCTGCCGGGGACTTGTGTTGATGTTACACACAAGACGTTTAATGGCTAGCTTGTCCGTTGTCAACGAGGGCGATGGAGACGCCACTGATCCGCCATAACATGACTGAGTTCTGTCTAGCAGAAACGTTTGCGCATCACGCAGGGGAAGAGGTTTAGTTTTCTCGAAGTATACGGAAATAACCGAGGCCTTGCGAATGATCACTTTTGAAACAACGACGCTGATTGCACAACTAAATCTGATTGCCTCCAATCACGAGTCTTGAACGCTCACACCATGAAAGGGCCGTATTAGAACAGAGGTTACGTAGGAAGATATGACAGGAGTAACCTCTGTGGGAAGAGAATGTGGAAACCCTGACAGTACATACATGCATGACACTCACCGCCGCCATGTTTTGCTGTCATGGCAGGGAACTGGAGCAGGTTGGGGATCCCCACTACAAAGCTGCTGCAGACGAGGAGGTACTCGATCTTCTTGTCCCATTTCCCCTTGGCCTCTTCTTCCTGTTCCCTCTCCTGAGGGTCAAGGTCAGTGTCGGACTGGGGCAGGTTGGATGTGCTGTCAAAGTTGTCGTCCCGCATCAGGATCTGATTGGAGCCTTGTAGATCGGAGTCATGGGTCTGACCTGTGGCTGTTGTTGACAGAGTCTGGAAAAAGGCAGGCCATGATTAAACTCTACTGAAAAAAAAAAACCTGGCCAGAATCATAAATACTTTAACAAGATATACATGACAGATGTCGTTAAAGCGTTACTCATAACCTTTGAAGAGTGGGTAAAAAATGGGTAAATAATCACAGAACTCATCAAATAGTTACTTGCAGCATTTGAACATGAAGTCTGGAAAACAAGGTAAACATTGACAGAAGTCACTAAAGAGTTACTTGGAACCTTTGACAACAGAATCTGGAAAACAAGATAAACATTGACAGAAGTCATTAATGAGCTACTCATAGCCTTTGACGAGTCTGGAAAAATGGGTAAGTTACTTGTAACATTTGAACACCAAGTCTGGAAAATAAGGTAAACATTGACAGAAGTCATTAAAGTGTTACTCAAAACCTTTGAAGAGTGGGTAAAACATGGGTAAGTAATCACAGAACACATCAAATAGTTACTTGTAACATTCAAACACAAAGTCTGGAAAAGAAGGTAAACACTGACAGAAGTCATTAAAGAGTTACTTGGAACCTTAGACGACAGTGTCTGGAAAACAAAGCAAACAATGATAGAACTCATTAAAGAGTAAACATTTGACTACTGAGTCTTGAAAACAATGTAAAGAATGACAGAACTCATTAAAGCATTCCTGGTAACCTTTGACAACAGGGTCCAGCAAACAATGTAAACAATGATAGAACTCATTAAAGAGTTACTCGCAACCTTTGATGACAGTCTGGAACACAAGGTTAAACCTGAACAGATTTACGATGGAAGTGCTGATGTTGCTAGAGTCTAGAAAAGGGCAGAACAATGTCAGACCTCCAACGTTAACTGTTGTGAGTCGAATTATTGCAACATAACTCCACGGTTGCATTAAAGAGAAAGGTATCTGAAGTCCAGGTTTGAGTTTCCCATGAATAGGGAGCCAATGACCCTCTGATGTATCAATACAGTACAATTGTCCACCGACCAAAGCCAATACATCAATAACAAGTGAGGACATCAATAGTTAGACTCCATACTATTGTAATTATGGGAATGCCCTGACCATAGAGCTTACAGACAAACTGGAATATCCGTAACTGAGGCAGGGAGGTATTGATGATGGAGAATCAAATTCCCTCCTTCACTTATATATAATGGATACCTGATTACTGGGTCCCACGAACCTTCTGACCTCGAGGAAGAAAACTGTCTTTGTGATCAAACAGGTTAATGAACACTGTGACCAGCTGACAAGTAGGCTGGCTCGACTGTCACGTGAGATGCACCTTTGCCCTGAAGACGATGTTGTCCAACTGTGATGCCTACAAATTGACTACTGGTAGTAGCAAGTGCCGGAAATTTGAATTTTCACAAAGATGGAAATGGATACAGATGAAGGGTAGTGGCTTCTAGGCTGGGAGGTTGGAGTATGGGTCGGAAGATTGGTAGGGGTGTGTGTGCGTGTGAGCGCGCGTGCGTGCATGGTGTTGTGTATGTGTGGGGGGTCATGTAGGTAGACAGGCAAACAGGTATGTAGGCAGGCGTGCAGACTAGTAGGTAGGTAGGTAGCTAGCTATAGGTAGGTAGGTAGGTAGGTAGGTAGGTAGGTAGGTAGGTAGGTAGGTGATGGATGGAAGAGCAGATTAGGTTGAGCAGTTAATAGGTAGGAATTATACAATGATGTAAGTGAATATTTTGCCATTGATATAGTATCAAAGAATATATGGTACCTCAGTTCTCCAAGACAATCAAGCCAGACACTTTGAGTTGTTATTTTCATTTTGTCCAAGTAATAACATCAATAAATTGGTCAAGTATGTGATAAAAGATGATGAGTCAGTATTTTTTTATTGGTACATCACAGATGATCAAACAAACATTCTTGTCATGTGGGATTTAACACAGTCTCAGGCGATAGCATTCCCACAGTCATAAAGGAAATAGGGCAAACTGAGGATGCATTGGTCGCATCAATTGGCTATGGAATTGTTCCATAATCAGAAAACATAGTTGCAGGAACTACACTGACAGAACAACAGACCCTGAAACACACCTACCCAATGTAACCCATGCAATATGTGACAAGTCTAGACTACCCAGGGGTGGAAATAACCCATTGCCCGACGTCCGAGTCCAGTGTTTTTTTCTGTCGGACAAGCAAATTTGTATATCACACTGTACCGGTGTTCAGTTGACTTTCCAATGTTAATTATGTTGTTTATTTAGAAAATCAGCAAGAAAACGGTTGGTATAGTGGAAAAATGATCAGGGCAAGTGACTTTACATGTGCCACTGTACCGGAGTACACTAGCAAATTTAAAGTTATTTCCACCCCTGCTACCAAAATGAAGACAGTCTCTAGGCTCCTTTTTATCATATTTTATGAACATAATTTAGAAACCATTTTTTTTCTTATAATAAATTTCATTACAGAGAAGAGATGTAAGAGAAGGACCAGAAACGTAAGGAACAAATAAACCATTCTATACAAAGTGGGGTAGTTACTATCAATCCATTCATATTTGTTTGTTGATCACATGATGGAAACAGAAATGATTGTCTGGTAACTTGTCTTATCCATACAAATTGAAAGTAGTGGTATCACAACTACTCAATAATTATCTGTACCCCTTTATACTCTGCAATTCCCAAAATATATCAGCAACTTGACCATTTAAGTTGATAACCAACATTTTAAATTTAATATGTCAAACACAGAAAAGTTGTAATCCCCTTACTCAAAGACTTGGCTTCACGATAATCTTCAATCTAACTGACACAAATGTTCTTACAGCTCTGTGAATACTTTCAATTTGCATACAACTATCCCTGACAACTTCCACTACAAGAATAGCGCTGTTTACCATCACAAGTACTGAGAATCAATAATGGACCAACTATTTAATATTTCTGTCACAGACAGAATGCATTTAAGTTCACTGCTTCAATATACAGACAAACCTTATGGATATTATAAACAACTTCTTTATTCAGATGATGCGACGTTTCGATACAGATTTTTGTATCGCTGTCATACAAGAATCTGTATCGAAACGTCCCATAATCCCAATAAAGAAGTTGTTTATCCATAAAGTTCGTCCGTACATTACTCTCCAGCTTCTAAATAATGCCTCTCAAAGAAGTCACTGCTTCTAGATATACAGTTGTATTCTCTTGGAGTAGAAGCTGAAGATTATTGTTTTATTACATATTTTCAAAATAATCATCAAGTTCAGCACGTTTTTTCCATAAATCTTAGGTAAAATTAGTTTCTTCAGTGTTTAAAAAAAATACTCACCCGAAGAAATTCAAATAGCTGCACCTAACTTTACTTTCAGCAACATGTCACTGAAGGTGTTGACATACAAATTCTCAATCCATTCCAACTGATTGACAGTACCCATAATCCAGACATGGAACAACAAACTGGACTTTTCAGTAATTGCTTTCCCAAACATAAAGGCACTTCATCAAAACTTAGCCACCATTACTGCATTTCCTTCAACAATCATTTCTCTACTGGTCACTGACTGGCATGTTTTCCCAGATACACAAACAGTCACTTCATCAAAACATTGTTCCAACACAACGGAACTCTGAAAAGATTACTTCAAGAGCGGCAACATACATAATGCTTTTCCCCGGTCAATGATTGGGTAGCAACCGAGAAGTTTCCACCGCTGCAGTAACTAGAGTCATAAACATCTTGATCCACCTTCATTGATGCCATCAATATCGTAATCACATCATTAATGGAGTCTATTGCTAGGGAAGAAAGGCATTCTTCTCTCAGGAATGTTTCAAACAAATAATGCCTATTTTCCTCTACGGTTCAGTGTTCTTCAAGCACTAGCCAATGAGAGGAATCAATGGTCAACACTAGGGTTTTGATTGAGTTGTCATAGTATACTCCAGATAAGGAGTAGCGACTAGCGGTTTCTGGGAAGTTTTCAAGTGAGATCTGTTTGTTCGATAGACACTAAAAGCTTTAGTAACAGTTTGAGTAATAGACACAGCAACCTGTCATCCAAGGGAATTAAAACCAAATCATACTCTTAAATGTGAGAGTTATTGGTTAAGGAGTCAACCACTCCTGATTGAGTGGTTGATTGATTTAGTGAAAGAGATTCTTTACCATATCAAGAAGCCATTGTGTACATCTGATCCACATATGGTTGAGTTACTAAGTTCTTCCCATTCCCACACCAATTCAGTAATTAATGAGAATTAAATCCACAAGTCTCTGAAGATCACATGAATGTTTCTGGAATACTTGCAGTACTAGCTCATAAAAGTCATAATTGAAAAATAGTGAGTGAGTGAGTTTAGTTTTATGCCGCACTCAGCAATATTCCAGCTATATGGTGGCGGTCTGGAAATAATCAAGTCTGGACCTGACAATCCAGTGATCAACCCCATGAGCATCAATCTGCGCAATTGGGATTCGATGTCTCGTGTCAACCAAGCATGGGTTACTGAAGATCAATTCTACCCCGGATCTTCAGGGGTGACAAAATAGAAGTGAGTGAGTGAGTGAGTGAGTGAGTGAGTGAGTGAGTGAGTGAGTGAGTGAGTGAGTGAGTGAGTGAGTGAGTGAGTGAGTGAGTGAGTGAGTGAGTGAGGTGGGTTCCATGTCATTTTGAAAAGTATTCTAAATATATCATGGCATGTCAGCCTAATATGGGAGAAACCAATGAGTAGCGGTTTTGGTAGTGAGAAACCTCAGTAGAAACCTATACTATGTCAACTGGGATTTGAACCTATTCACATGAGGTTCTGGTGTGCCCAATGAGCACAACTGCAACGTCTTAGATTACAGGGCCGATAAACACAAATTTCTATCAAAGTCACAGTAATACTTATACATTTATCCTCAATGTATGTACGCTAAACCAAACACACTTTCACACTGAGATGGCTCAACCTTATTTAGTGGGGCTCAATATAAGCAGGAGGAACCACTGACCTTGCTTGTAATACACATGGCTGTAAGACTGCTGG